ATTTGTGTTATAATTTATATTATTAATAAATATTTCTCAAACACGCCCCTAGTTTGTAGTGAGAAACAAAAACAGTGCTACAGATCAGTATTTGCTTCAAGTTGATCCTGTTTACGTCAATTTTCAAGGCAAATTAAAAAACCCTAATTGACACCCTAAATCGTCTTCATTCCAAAGCAGCACTAGAAAGAGAGAGAGTGAGAGAGGGAGTTGTAGTGAGAGAAACAATGGTATCGGGCTCTGGAATCTGCGCGAAGAGAGTGGTGGTGGATGCGAGGCACCACATGCTGGGCCGCCTTGCGTCCATCTTAGCCAAGGAGCTCTTGAATGGACAGAAAGTGGTGGTGGTCAGGTGCGAGGAAATCTGCTTGTCAGGTGGCCTAGTTCGCCAGAAGATGAAGTACTTGCGGTTTCTTCGTAAGCGCATGAACACCAAGCCGTCCCATGGCCCCATCCATTTCCGTGCTCCATCCAAGATCCTCTGGCGCACCATCCGTGGGTATGATGCCTTTTACGTGCATTTTTTGTTTCTTTATTTGGTGAATTTTGTGCATAACTACAAGCCAGTTGATTTCTTCATTTTTGTTAAGTGGGTCGATTGAGAAAGTTGCATCTGGGTTTGATTTTATGTAATGAGTTGTGTAGATTGTGTTAGAACACACGTTGTACATGTCATGAACATATATATTAAATTTTCATAATTGGCATATTGGTTGCTCTTTGTATGGTTTAAATGTTAGTAAATTTAGATATTTTTGAAAATTCTTACTGCTTTGGTTTGTTTAGTGCCAAATATAATTTTTCTCTTCTGAAGTGCTTTTTTTTTCTTAAATGTTAAATGCCACTGATGCTTTGCTCAGCAGATTGTATAGTTTGGTTTACGTATGTTAACAATGCAGATTGGTCTATAGTTGATACCCGTTTGATTTCTTAAACACACCCACACAGGCTTTCATGAGATGTGTACATTGCAAGCCTATTTTATGATTTGGCCTGTAAGGTTTAATTGATCTTTTTTCAGAGTAATTAGATCTATAAATGCCCATTTTCCCATTTGGAGTTTGTTTATAGTGTGTTGATGTGGAAATAGCTCACCTTTTGTTTTGAGATGTAAATATAATCTTTCTTGAACATTTGCATGCTTAGATATCATAAAATGCCCATTGGATATTAGTCTGTAGTGATTTTCTATGTTGGTAGGCTGAATGGTATTCCTTTATTGCATTTAGCTTCTAATGTTTGGAAAATGGAAATGAATTTATTGTTTTGCTTATAAAAGTGAGTATTTTGGGATGGATTTATGTCTATGAGTCATAGTTCTTGGTTTAAAGAGATTTATAGACTGTAGATGTGTGAACTTGGTTGTTTATAGGACATGACAACCTTATCATGATGTTAGTAGCATTTGTTGTTATAATCTGCGGTCTGCAATTAAAAATTTGCGTGTGAATAGAAATATTTGTGGTCTATGCTTGATAGGTAACAATTATATATTTGTGAATCTGGAACTTAATTTTTTCCTTTTTTAATGCATTTTCTAGCTATAATATATGTAATAATGTTATTCAAGCATCAAACTGCTACAGTAGGTCCTTATTCTAAGTCTTGTCAGGCTATTGTGATGTTGCTTGATTTCTTTGTAATTGGACATTCTATTTGAGTTTAAGTGTGCTAGAAAGAATTGGTCTTGTCTCATGTCATTTGTCAATTTATATTTGTAGGATGATCCCCCACAAGACTAAGCGAGGAGCAGCCGCGCTTGCTCGGTTGAAGGTTTACGAGGGTATCCCACCTCCATATGACAAGACAAAGAGGATGGTTATTCCTGATGCTCTCAAGTGAGTTTTGTGGAATGTCAGTTTATAAATCTAAATGCGCCACATCCAATATTTGTGGCTCATTTGCTTTATCTAATCAGGGTTTTGAGGCTTCAAGCTGGACACAAGTACTGTTTGTTGGGTAGACTCTCATCAGAGGTTGGATGGAACCATTATGATACTATCAGGGTGAGTTTTAATAATACATTATGTCTGCTGGTGTCACAATTAGTTGCCTTTCGATATGTGCCTTATATTGTTTGTTTGGTATTGCCATTTGCCTACTTAAATTTCATGCTAAAATTCCATCACATCTCAGAATATTAAATATATGTTATCAATTAGTAATATGCATTTCTCTTTTGTTTTACTCTTGTTTTCTTTGAATTGTCTAAAAAGTTTGGTATTGTTTAGGTTCTTGTTGCTTTATTTATGCTTCTCTATCTCATTTTGATTGTAAATTGCAAGTTTGTATGCTGCTTTTCCTGTCTTGATACTTCTGCTACCTGTGCACATCTCAAACATTAACTTTTGCTTCTTCTGTGCATCTGCTACGAAATTAATCTGTCCACCTGATCAAGAATTTTTTCTTCAGAATTTTTATTTTATTTTTTTGTGAATCCGTGTGGATGTGGATCCCATCCACCTAACATTGTTTCTAAATTCCATGTGGTTTTGTACTTTTGCTGAGTTTCCATCCATTATGTTGCGGTTTCCTATATAATTAACATACTTCGGTCAAATTCTATCTTTAAATGTAATTGTTATGTATGCTGTAGGAACTTGAGAAGAAGAGGAAAGAGAGAGCTCAGGCAGCATACGAGAGAAAGAAGCAGTTGACAAAACTGAGAGTTAAAGCGGAGAAAGTTGCTGAAGAGAAGCTCGGCACCCAACTTGACATCATTGCTCCAATCAAGTATTGAAATATTGACATTTCTTTGATGTATCAGAATTTTTTTTTTTTTAAATGTTAGTTATGTCTGCTACAAGTGTTTTATTTTGTGCAAATAGTTGAGCAAAGATTTTTCTCCCCTTTTTTTGACTTTATTCTTGAAAAACAGTTATTCATAAGATTTTACGACGTTCCCTTTTGTTCATGCTTTGTTTCGCCCTGCGACTTGCATAAGATTTTATGACTGTTGAAATGAAGCTGAAAGTAAGGGTTGTTGTAGATCAGCTGAAAGGTGCACTCTCTGCTTGACTAGCCATCATAGCGCCTTTCTGGGCTGTATTCAACCAATAATACTATTTGTATATTTGGGGTTGACACTCCAGATGAAGCACCCCTCACATGGGTGGGCTCGAGATTTTTTTATTACGGGCAGGCCCCACCTCCATCTGAGGGGGAGGGGGTGTCAATTCAGATGTACAAATAGCACGACTGGTGTTCGAATCCTTTAAAAGACAATAGACACCTTCCGGGGGGTGTAGGGTTAGGGCAGAATTGATTTTTAGAGGGTGCAACTTTTTGCTTTGTTTTTAAACTACTTCTAATTATACTTTGAAAAATTTATATTGTTTTGTCAAGACATCAAAAATAATTGTAACGTCAAATTTATGCCTAATAGAAAGAATTTTTGTTATGCAAATTTAGACAGAATGGACAAGAAATAAAGTCAATACGGTAAAACACAATATCACACAAACAGAATTTGCTCTCAGCTCTTCAAGTCTCTAGTAATTGCCCTTTGGTCTAGGCACTGACGTTAAAAAAAAAAAAAAAGTCGTACTGAGAGTTGAACTTATGGTCCAAAATATGTTTAAAATATCATGGTTTAGAAAATAAACTGGTAAATTTAGTTCTGGTTCACCCGAATATAATGTCACAATTACGAATTCAGTTCAACTCTGCGTACATATAGAGTGAGACATGCGGGCATGAGTTTCTGTATGAAGTTTGTATTCGAGTATTACTTTCATCTTTAATTGATAGTGAATTTTTTATCCTAAACACAAAACAAGTTTCGATCCCTCCCGAGAAGCCATTTATCTCTCTAAATGGAGACAAAATTGGGAAAATTAATGTTATTTCGGTCTCTAATGACTCGATCGTTATTCTGCAACTTTCTTCCCTCTTGCCAACAATATTGTTCCCAGCATGAACTTTGAGGTAAGAATCTTCAAATATATATAGCTTAATAGATGCCTTAAAGAACTGTAAGAAAGTGCAACAATGAGATCTAATTTAGCCCGTGATGGCATTTTAAGCTTTTGAAGGGGCAAATCTACAAATACAAGAAATTTAGGGAGATGCCAATAATACACAATAATATTTATAACATGCAAATCCACAAATCACAAACATAGTATATCGTAGAAATGTTAACTTTTATTATTGTTATAAACACAAATCAGTTAACCTCCGCAGAGAACAAGTGCTACGGGTCGTGAGGTGAGAACCACACTAACAGCCCATTTGGCATGACTTTTGAAAAATCCAAAGGAGCTTTTAAAACTCAAAAGCTACTTTTGGATCCATTTGACTAATTTTACGAAAGTGTTTTAGGTAGTTAAACAAGTTTTTAGAGAAAGTTAGTCCAATATAACTTCCTCTAAAAGCACTTCTAAAATTGGAAGTACTTTTAAAAAATAATTCTCAAACAAAAATTAAAGTAACTTTCCTCTAAAAGGAATTCTAAAATTAGAAGAATTTTTAAAAATTAATTCTCAAACAAAAATTAAGGTAACTTCATCCAAAATTATTCTACAGGAAGCAAAAGCAAAAGTAAAAGTAAAAGTAAAAGCAAAAGCAAAAGCAAAAGCAAAAGCATGCCTAACAGGCCCTAAGCCCACAAGAGTTGCAACATGTCTTACATTGACAATGAAGGGTGGATTGCAAACCTACCTCTCAACATGGGTTGATCTTGGATACAGTTTCCTCGTATTATGTTGTAATTATTAATACTAAAATAAAACAATAGTCAAAAGATGAGAAGCACAATAACTTCACTGAAACAAAAAAATAAAAATTATCTGCATGAAGTTGAAGTAATGAATAGTCCGGGTTTCAATAATTGACCTCTTGATGTCAATTTCCTGTGTTGAATAAATGCAAACCAGAAGAACGGCATCTTATGTTAGCATCCAGAATATAGCAATATCTAATTTTTCTTCGATCTCGAAGCAACAAAAGTGACGCCATTTTCAGTCTCAACCCTGGGTCTCTTCAATCTGGCTAGATGTCTATTTGGTATTGTGTGTTGGAACACTCAGATAAAATTTAGTGTTCTTGAAATCATCCAACAAGGGATTGTATCCATCTTTGGTTCTTGTCTTAGAGGGAAGACCGAATTCTTCCATAAAAGATGACGTGTCAAGCTACATGAAATCAGCAAATGCAGGCATCAGAAGCAGCTAGTTAACATATAGGTATTTAGACGAAAAAAATGCCAAATTTATATTTATCCAGCCGCCAACTTATCAGTGTAGTCTATCAAGGCTAATTACAGGGAAAACGAACTCCAATAAAATGGGCGTTGCATTCTTTCCAATTACAACACCATCAGTCTTCACACGACATCATTAAATCTAAAATAGGAGAAGGGGCAAAAAGAGGAAGTGTGCAGCATCAAAAACAGGTTGTGGGATGGCTCGTGGCTTTCAATGATTAAAATTTGAGCCAGTTCAGTCAAATAGTGGGTTTTGGTGAACCCGCCTTGAAAGAGATCTATGATATGTTACTAAACCGCCATTAGTTTCATGTAGGGTTTCTTTTAACCAACATGAGTAGGCTGCCTCCATTCTGCCATAGTCTGCTCTCTTTTGCCTATATGAAAAATTTATTCTCATCTTTTACTTTAATTCAAAAATTCATCAGCAAGAAGATGAGCACATCCACGGAGCATTCCTGGTCATCCATTGCCAAGAAAGAAAGTGTGACAGAAAATTATATAGAACTTCCTTGTAAATCCTCAGAACGAATTTTTGGTTGTGAAGTCGAATCAATCCTCGTTTACCCAATCATCAGGGCCATCATGAGAAAGGTGGAAGTGTCAAATAAGGTGTACTTCAGACATTTCGAACAACTTCATAGCAATAGAAAATAACGTTATTAGGTATGCCAAAGGCAGTATTTGCAAAGAGTTCCATAAATGCCATTATCAGTTAGGTACTCCGCACTCAAAGAATCAGTAAAAAAAAAAAAAGCAAGTTAAGAAGGGACCAAATAATGTCCCATATCAGATTTTACGTAACTGGTCTGGATGGATCCTTCTTCATTTTTTTGCCTGTTTAGTTGGTAATATGGCAGCTATCTAATGCCTGTCTGTTTAAAGGTTCGGGCCAGGGGGATGAGGTGATGGAGGCCAGTTCAAGGAAGTAGGTCGCAAATTTCGCCAAATCAGACAGGAACCAACCCATTTACATTCCCAACAAAAAACTAGAGTACGTAAACTGGATTAGGCACAATATGTTTAAGGTCAACTTCGGAAAAGGAAATATGAATGACCTTTTAAATAGGAATACTGTAAGATCAGCTTAATGATTCTCTCAGTTGATAAATTATTAATCTCCAAACATCAAATTTAGTAACTAAGATCTAATTCCAATGCAAATCTGAATTATAGCGAGAAAAATGCAGATTGAAACACTAACTACACAACCAAATATTACCGTAAGCGTCCGTCTCTTCTTTCCCTTCTTCAACGATTTATCTTGGTTTGGCTTCAGCTGTCTAGAACAATAATGATCCATACGTTCCAGAAGCCAGAAATCTGTGGGGAAAAAGATATCAGCATCACCCTGCCAAAAAAATTGTAAAAATATTAATGAAAAGGGTCATAACTACTATTCTAAGATAGGAAATTGCTTCATTAAAAAAGAACTCAAGCAAATGCAAAGTCACACAACATGTTCAACTCTTGTCAATGCAAAATGGCAAATGAATGGTTAGTACCCTATTTCCAAGGAAAGACCACACATTGAAACAAGTTCTCCAAAAAGATGGAACATAAAATGAAAGGTTTCTACACAATGCAGCGACTGGAGTAATTTCTGTTCCCAGCTTGTTCTCACTGAAATCTCATTAGAACCTGTTACTAATTTTATAGCATACAAACAGTCATCTCATACAATTGATGCTTGTCAAGTAAAAACAAGGCATTTATATATTATTCACAAATTGAAGTCAATTCTCATTTCTCATTTTAACTCTACAAAATGTACCTGATCAAAGTGGAAAGTTCAGCATACACCGAACAAGCTTTGTAAAGTCCATATTTAAATGCAGCAGTCAACATCAGTAGGTTTTCATAGTTTATCAGATAGTAAGAGCTTAGGGAATATCACAATCAACCTAGAGAGCTATATGTAATTACAACTCGCACTTGTCAAATGAAAACGATGCTTACGCACATCCAGCTTTTCATGCAGCTTCATGTTAATCTTACTCCCTATATTGTACATCAAAACATATTTCAGACACTATCCATGTAATCACAGAGAAACCTAGTTAAGTGTTATAATATGGACCACTATCCATAAACCAACAGAGGAGAAAGGAAAGTGAAATATAACACACCTTTGCATCCAGATAAGTGCTGTAATCCAAACTATTGCCATCTTTCTGCAAATTAAAAAGAAAAAAAGGTAAATGAACTGCATATACCATCATGCAGATCCAATTTGTTTGCTTTGGTCAGATAAAAGTGATTTTTTCTTATAAATCTGCCACATTTCAAAGGAGAACTTATGATTCCAATGACTGACGGAAAGTGTTCGTGAAGTACGTTATTCCAACAGTTCACTCACCATGACTTCCAACATGACAACCCCCAAAACAAAACAACACAACATACATGTCTACCTTCCAAAACAGACATGAAGAAGCAAATATCTAATACAGGTCTCAAACACTAATCTACAACCAAAGTTTACTAAAAAATTAACATGTTTAATCATGGATATTATTTTTTAGAATCTGATTCATATTTTTTAATAGAGAATTCATTTCTCTGACTACTAACAATGTCAATTTTATGTAAAACATCTTTGGAGTATCATAATAGTAGTTTACTACTGTTAATTGGTTATGAATGATGTGTCTCCATACTAGTATACGAAGTCAAGACACCCACTTATTGAATCCATGTTTCCTGAAATTTAATAAGTCAACTGTCCAACAGTTTGTTTAGTACCTGTCTTTGATAAATGTAAGGAAGTTTTAGCAACACAGCTTAACAAAGAAGGGAAACAACAAAAAGGTGCAGAAGCAATCAATCAAATATTCATTATTGTCATTGAATAAGGAAATAATAGAAACGCCCTCTGGAGATAAGCTTCTTTGCATCTTAAAGTCATTAAGATTGAAATTTAGTAAGTGCTGATTCTTCTCATTAGAACACCAACAAACTGAAATATGGAAGGGTTTTGCACAAGCAGGAAACATCTCCAATGGCCAAAAGATATATCAAGAGACTCATACCGCACTTAAAATAGCCTCGACCAGAAGTTATGCAGAATTAGCTTTCTTACCTATCCTATACTGAGGGAATATGTGGATAAATTACAGCCACGATTTTTCTGAACACTTAACTTTTAGGATTTGGGAAGCTTATCCAAATCTGGATACTTCTTTTTGTTGAAGAATCTTTTTTAAATCCACAATTTTTAGATATTCTGTACAAGGGGGGCTTTAGTGCCAAATTTAAGTAAATATCTTCCATGTAGTGGGAAATAAGTAAATAGACTTTGGTGACTAACGTTAACATACACAGCAATATTTGTAGAATAAGCAATGCCATAAAGCTCCCCATGGTGCTGCCTCTAAAGTCAATTACACAGAAAAGCTATGCTTGAAGCACGAGGGAAATTAGAAAAGAAATATCTTCATGAAGTTATTTGTCAAGAAGGAACAAAGCTGAATGTACCTTGGTTGAAACCAGTGGAGCTCGCTCACCAGGTACTTTAACATCAGGAAGGTAACTGAAATCAGATGCAACTAATGACATCTTCGGTAAAGCACCGTGTAGAACTTCTAGAAGTTTCTGCATTTGAGGTAGCATTAATAATCCAAATAATATCAGTATTTAACAGTAATGTCTTACCAAACAACCAGTTGGTAGCCAGCATCTCCGAGGCTTTGGAAGTATTTTGGCTGAAATACTTTTGGCAACTGATGCAAACATGCTTCCTTGAGCACTACCATCTTTTGGCAGATCCAAAATCTCCATGCATTTTGTGATTAGTGGATCATGTAGTGGCTTATACAACTCAGAGAGTTCTAACCTATTGAAGGACATAGGAATATACTTGGAAACTTCAATAAATCCACAATTTCATTATGTAAGCAACTCCATCAAATGCAATAACCTAAAGAAAGATATCCACAGATTAATCCCTGATTATGTGCCTCATTCTGATTGAACATGAAATTATACTAATGCAATCTGTCTGTCTCTTGTGGGGATTTATCATTTTTTTCCTCTTTTAGGGAGATTATTTATGGATTAAACCCTGATTTATGATGTCAAAATAGGAAGTTATTTTCAATATAAATGGTAGGTCTATTGATCCATACAGATGTTCCCATTTTTTGAAGTTGACGAAATGAGAGTTTCAGTCTGATGTACCTCTGTTTTCGAGTTGAAATACATTACAGGACCTAATGATAAAACCCTTCTATCCAGCTATTTGTTAGGTTGATTCTCTCTAAGCCTCTATTTCATGTATCTTTACTCTTTAGAGAATCAACAAGTGAAATCTTACTGAGGTTAAATACCCTTAAAATTGCTCAACATAGTGATAGGCACCTGGGAAAGTCAAGAAAAAGACCTTAAGGAGTAGGGGCCAGTTATGTAGAGTGAAAATATAGATACATCATGAGGGATTAAACTAACTGCTACCTGTCATGTTGCTTTTCAACCCACACTTCCATCCAAGGTGAAACTTGATTTTCAGAATATATCAGATCATGTGGAAGATTATCAAGCACCTAGGAGTAATAAGAAAACGCCTATTAGCAAGTAAACAAGGTTGGAACTGACATATAAAGAAGCTTGTCTTCTTGACAAAGATTTTGATGTCAACAATGTGAAGAAGGATAACCTTGTTAATTCACTAGTCAATTTCTAATATTGATGAGAAACATACAATACAAAAGTATAAATTCTGGAGACTTAAAGTCCATAGATATAGGTATATACCTCTAACATTATGACCCAACAAGGTTGTTGCTCGAGCCCTGTTTCAAAAACACGCCTTCAGTGTGACAGTTTCAAACACTATGAGATGAGTTTTATGGGAAAGAAAATTGTTCACAGGTAAAGGGAATGCAATTAACAGGAAGAAGGAAATGCCAGCAAATTTGAGGCAGCATACCCCACCCATTTGGGTCAGCAGCATCACGACACTCTACTTGAAACTTTGCCAAGTGACTATTTACTTCTCCGACAGTTTCTTGTTGCTTTTTGGCTAGTGAAGGACTGATTTCTACTGAACTGCAGTAGATTAAAAGAACGACAATATAACTTTACATAGTAAAGGATCCGACTTTTCTACTGCTAGACTAAGTTTGGTCTATGTAACAGGAATTGTATCTTCAATACATAAAAATCTGTGCACATTATTTGCACGCACACACAAATAATCTCAAGACAATTTATGTTTGTTCAAGAATAATAAACAATAAATAAATAGTATTGATACCATGGAAAGCAATTATTTCAAATTGAAAGCACCTTACACAATCACTAAAAATTCCAGTACAACGCAATCCAGTCTGCTCCAAAAGTAATAAACCCAGCAAAGATATATTGTTTTGGAAAGTGAAGCATTCGAAGTTCAACCTCAAAACGTCCCAAATTGTGAAAATTAATCATTTCCGTTGAATCTTGGTTGAATTGTTCCGAATAATTCAAGATATCAAACAAAAGCAATGTGAAGCATATTAGTGCACAATTCAAGAGTCTAGCCCTTAAAACTGATGCTGTACTACCTATTCTAAAATTCAAAAGTACCATGGGACATTCTTGTTACTACGAGTATACAATAATTGTCAAACCTCAATAAAATATTTAGCTACTTCTACAGCATATATGATCCATGTCAACACTTTGGGATGAAAACCATGTTTAAGAAATATTAGTATACAATTGTGAAAGAAATAAGAGATGGCAACACGGCCAAGAAAAATAGGTAAAAGAACTGTTGGGAGAGGTGGGAAAATAATATTCATAAAATTATCCAAATGACATATACTTTTTTTTTTTTTGATCAGTTCCAAAAGACAGATACTTGCATGCATATAGGGAGGGGGAGAGAGGGAGGCACTAAAAAGATATGAGGAAATGTAGAGTACAGGAGTAATCAAGAACAAAGGTAAGAATAATTTGTATTGTATAGGTTTCACATCCGTAAAAAATCCAATATTAATTTCATTAACATTTTAACCCAAAAGCATCTCAGTTTTGATACAATACAAATAACAAGCATAAGAACATCACATACATGTAACTCATATTATCATAAACTCTTGTTGGTGCGTTCAGTTTTATGTAATCCATTACACTCTTTGCACAAGTTCCTGATCCACCTCCAATCTCATATATCTGAAAAAGAAAAATAGTAGTAGGAAAATACTTCAATTTTTTTTAGCTTGATTTTAGGAGATAAAAGATATGAAAACTCATGACTCAACTTAATTAAAAAAAAAAACTATAGCAGTACTTTTCCATAAGATGCAAAATAGACAAGGCATAAACTTTTTCTCGACAATAAATGAAAGGAAATTCCTCGTGACAATTAATGAAGGGAAGAATTTCTGTTTTCCATATATAAATCAACGTTGCTGAAATAAGAAGAATGTAATATTAATTGTTATATTGAACATAGAATGGAGTCTTTATATTTCTGAACAGGGGCTGCCTTGACCTGAAGCCATTGCTTTAACCAGCCATGCTGCTTACCAACAGTGTCATTGTTGTAATGTTTTCAGGCTTTGGTCGTGAGAGGCTCTCGATAAAGTGATGATATTATAATGCTGCAGCTAAGCTTTCCAATTTCTAGAACTATGAACAGGTTTGACCTTATGCGTTTTGATATTAACCAGAACTACGCAGCATTATGTTTTTTAAGGGAATACTCCAAATTGTTGTGATGTCTTCCTAGTTATCGTTATCATCATATTTCATTTTAGGATTGATAGATAGGCCAAATTAACAATAACAATGGAATTGTCTAACTAGCCACGCGTAAGCTTATAGCATAAGAAGAACTTTAACAATGAGTCTTAGTAAATCATCCAATCAGGAAACTCAGAAACTTACTTTTAGCGGAACAGATAAGTTCGTAGTCCGCATGATTGCTTCAGCAATTCCATGAGCATACCAAGGCTAAAAAGAAGAACTTCGAAAGTTAATCCACCTAGAATGCAAGTAGAAAATTAAAAAAAAATGCATATTAAGATTAGGGGTGTGTTTGAGCCACATTATTTTGTAAGAATGTATTTTGGAATAGTAGATTGATGGGGAATGTGTGGTTGAAAAAAGAAAAAAAGTTATTGAAGTGATGGAAAATATTATTTTATTTAAGAATGTATGATTGAAAATAAGTAGAAGAATGAAAATGTGAATTTTAATATGGATCAAACAGGGGCTAAGATGATACTCTTTTCATAACTAGTATGCAGAAAGAATATGGTCATTAACATGACCATATGACAGACTAAATTAACATGTTTACCTTAAGTTTAAAACAGGTAGAGAAACACCAAAAGAATAAAAAGAAAAAAAAACTACCAATTATTACTCAGATGAGGCAAAGAAAACATCATGTATAGAGGTTGTTTGCGTCAGCTTACAAGCAAGTTGAGTTTATTTAACTAAGTTCTTATTTCAGACACTGCCTAACCTTTTATGACAGATGATAGTAAATCTAGCCGGTTCAAAACAACTTATTTAAGTAATTGGCTTGGGTGTTCATGAATGCAACTCAATCTCATAGCTTGTTTTTGGGAGAAATTTAGATAATTCGTTTCCACTAAGCCATTCAGCAGATTATACAATGACAGTATTGGATTGGTCCTAACATTCAATAAATTATCGATGGCTTTGCATTATATTAAGTAGGCAATCTGGTGATGATATACCTGAATAACTAAATTTTAAATAACCGCACAGTGTCCACACATATAGATACTTTGTATAGCTCAATAGCTGCATATCATTTTTAATCTTATTTGTTAATATATATCCTTTACATTCATGATTTACTCAATGTGATCGATATCCAAACTAACTCTAAATTTGAACATTATGTTCTACTTCATGAAAGTGAATATTATCTTCAACAAAGCAACTCATCAATGTACAATTGTACATCAGTATAACAGAACTCAGTCAAGGAGAGCATGAAGTTTCTGACCAAGAACAAGTAAATCCTAAAAATGAGTGGCACCATATGGAATAATAAAGCCAAATGTAGCTCCAATAACTCGTGAGCAGGCTTAAGTCATTCTCACCTCTAGGACCTAGCATTGGCTGACACACTCAGTAATAAACAGGGGAGCTTGAATAAAGATTTTGCTATAGCAAATCTAGGCTTCTCGATCATAAGAAATTAAATATTAATTACAAAATGAGGATAATCTAATCCTTCATTCCTTCTCAAATCAATTTACAACAGCTCTTTGTTTGAATAGACAGGTCCCCTTCAGCAAAGACAAAAATTATAATTCAATCATATGTTGATCAAATTATAAACGAAAACAATAGCAGGCAAATAAAATGAGAATTAGCAACTTCCATGTTTAAGGGCTTATTGGCACAAAACGTCCCTACGTTTGGCCTTTAGTGTGCAAAACGTCCCTACGTTTCAATTTTTTGTATTTCACCTTTATTTCCACGTTTCATCGTGGAAAATGTTATTTTCATCAAAATTTATCCAATTTCTCAATCAAAAAAATGTAAAATGACAAATATGCCCTCATATTTAAATAAGACAAAAAAAAAAAGAATTAATTGTAACCATACTCCCAAACATTTTTAAAAAGTGCAAATGAATCCTAAATAAATTATTAAAAAAAAAAATAATTTAAAATGGCTTCTCTCTCTCTCTCTCCGTCTCCTCCACCACCACCATGGAGCCGCTACCAATTCCTCCCAAAACCATCGTGCTGCCGCCACCAAAACCATCGAAATTTCGCCCCTTCACCGGCGCCAATACTTCCTCAATCCATCACAACCAAACAATTACACAAACAACCACAAATTCAACTCAAAATCAGCCCCAAATACACCAAGAACCACATGGCTTTTTCACCAATTCCGACCATTGCGTCAATACCCATGGTCGTCCACTATTGTCAATCAATCCCCCTCATCTAGTTGCCCATACTCATGGAGAAACGTCACAAAAAATAGTACAATATGATGCTGAGGCCTTGGAATTCCCTCTTGTGCGCAGAACACATGGCCAATGTGCCTCTTTCAATTCAAGGGTTTAAGGGTGTTGATTCACATAATTTGCCACATGTTAATCTATCAACATCATACGACAATGGATGTGAATTTAATTGCCCCAATTCACAGCTAAATTGATCCAATTTCGGCCACAAACTGCCCACCCAACTCGAACAGCTTGCTACCTCCAATTCATGAACTCACCATGCTCCGTTCTACCAATTCATCCATAGGCATTTCAAATCAGGTTCATACTCCAATGGGTAGGCATCCAATGGATCCAAATTATTCACCAATTGAATACGTTTTGGAGTCAAACTTGGTCGTGCTGTTCTTGATGTATTTGGGGGCTAATTTTGAGTCAAATTTTTAGTTGTTTATGTAATTGTTTGGTTGTAATGGATTGAGAGAGTATTGGCGCCAGTGGAATGGTAAAGTTTTGATGGTTTTGGCAACGACAACACGGTGGACTTGGGAAGAATTGGTGGTGGTGGTGGTGGTGGTGGTGGTGGAGAGGGAGAGAGCCATTTTTTAAAATTTTTTAATAATTTATTTGAGATTCATTTGCAATTTTTAAAAAGGTTTGGAAATAAGGTTGCAATTAATTCTTTATTTTTTGTCTTATTTAGAGCATGTTTGGGAGTGATTAAAATTGAAAATGTAGCCTTTATTAGGTCTCACTCGTCTAATAAAAGTCAACAATAACGGCTAGTTTTTCAATTTTAATCCGATTTTAATCTCTACCGAACACGCCCTTAAATAAGAAGGTATATTTGTCATTTTACTTTTTTAATTGGGAAATTAGATAAATTTGATGAAAATGACGTTTTTCGCAATGAAACGTGGAATAACGGTGAACATGCAAAAATTTGAACCATAAGAACGTTTTACACACTAAAGACCAAGCTAGGGACGCTTTGTGCCGATAAACCTTTTTAAAAGTGATTTTTCTTGTTAATTGATAATCCACTAATCAAATCTATTCTATGAAGCACAAAACAAATAATACATGGTTCTTTTCCACATTTTCAACCCAATTCAAAACAAGCAACAAAGCGAAGAAAAACTTCTACCTCAATAAGCATGAAAGAAATATTTCTCCATCACATACCTTGAAGAGCTCAACTGGAGTAAACCATGAGATATCACTTTGCTTGTAGATTTTATCTAGGTGTTGCATATAAGCTTTACGTCCTGAAAGATTAGAGCACGCATTATCATTTTGTATGGGTAACTTTATACATAATTGATAAATGAAAGCAAATTAGTATCTAAAAGAGAAATCGAATAACTCCAACAAAAAAGTAGAAGACGGTATGTAGCTGCAAGCAATGTTTTCAAAAGCACCATAGGCTCATGCCTTGATGCATGCCTCATGTGAGGCCCTCATCAAGAGCCTCAGAGTTAATTCTTTGAACACCATTTGTTAAGGCTTGCGGCTTGACTTACTAAGCCCTGCACGACAGGGCACATAATGTTAAGTTTCTTAGTCTAATAGTCTTGTCATATCTAGTTTTTCTTCCCCCTTTTTTTTTTTACGGGCATCAACTTTTGGAATGGTTTTTTCATATCCTAGAACCCTTTTAAGGTTTTTGGTGTTTTTTAACCCAACCAACCCTTAAAACTTTAAAAAGTTAATTGGGTATTAGATGAGAGAACAAGTAAAAACCCACGAAGCTAAACTCGTAACTGACAGAACACGTGGACATAACTTTACTCTTCTCTTTTAAACTTTTCTAGTTTATTTGTTTGTGTTTTTATTTTTACTTTTCTTTTAAAGTAAAAAAAAAAAAGTATATTTTTATTAGATATATAGTCAATTGTTTCATTTGTTATGGAATTTTAGATCTAGTTTTGGAATAGTGGTCTTGTTATGTGATTACTAATTCCTTAATTTATTTTTAGCTACTTGGTTGGTCCATTTAGTTTAAAATTGAGGATTAGACTTTCGATTTTGTTGAAATGATTTATTATGGATTTTTTGATAGTACAGTTTGCTATAATAAAGTTCTATATTTTGTAAATTTATGAATTGTTTCATTATGTTGATGATTACGCCTTCACAAACACCTCAACGCCCAATTTGGCATTTTTAACACTGACAACCAAGTAACCTAAACCACAGCTTGAAGTGTTTGACATGAAACTAAATTTAGTTCCATCTCTCCTCTTCCATGCATACCTATTTACAACCTGAGATCAATATTTCCTTTCAAAAACTGCAGCTTAGTTTACCCTCCACTTCTTGCAATATAATCACTTCATATGTTGCTAGATTTCCTTGTTCTCTCTACACTACTATAAACTAAGCCTTTTTGGTTTACATAAAAATCAGATTTTTAGTAGATATTGATAAAAGTTGATGAAATGTGGGCTGAAAAGTTGTAGATCCTATAAAATTTGTGGTTAAAATAAATCGTTGAATTCGACTTAGATTTTAATCCAATTTTTTAATTGAACTATACATGGGCTAAAGTTTAGCAAAAACATGGGAGTTGAGGTTTCTAAGACCAATGAAATGGGCGAACAAAATGAGATGAAAACATATTTCTATAATAATATATTAAATTTTAGATCAAATCACAAATTTAGTAAAACTTCTACTAAATGACTAAGCAGTTAGATTTATGGAAGTACAGAAAATGCTTAAGAGGATATTCACTTGCCATGTGACAGATAGAGATTCCCAGTGGTTAATATATTCACAAATTCATGCTTCCAAGTTCTAAGATACTATCGTTTCACTTGCCTCGTTATTTCACTATTTAATATCTAAGAAAGCTCACATCTTACCGATGTTAGATGTGGCTCTTACAGCTTTATTCCCTGATAAGGGAATATGGAAGCCCACAATAGGGTAGCTTTCATTGTATTCTAAGTTTTCTTTTGCCAATGATTTGTGGCGATTTAATTTAATATGATGATATTGACATTCAAACAAAAAGCTCATGCCTTGAACAAGAGTTCTTAATCACTCAAGATTAAGGTAGTACATTTAGTTGATCTTGTTAAATACATTAACTATACAAGCTTAACCCATGAACAAGGCTTCTTAATCTATTCTTGCTAAACTTTGATGCAGCTCTAGGACTGGTCCTGTAACCTGCTGGGGGGAGATATAATGACTGCTGCGCACGGCACTACATTCACTGTACATAATCCTTGGGAGTTTGTACCTTGCTCTAACAACAGTCTTAACCACAACATTATCCAGTATCATCATCGAAGTCAATCACATAACCAGCACTATTGTTCACATAATTTTAGACCCAGAAATATTACAGAGAAATTTAAACCAAACAGACTGGACCCAATAGCAAATAGCCATAAAACGTTGACAAAAAAAAATTGTAAATTAATTACAAGAAAAAATTAAGTACCTCCAAGCTGATTAAACTTGATGCTTCTGTCAAGCACCCCAACCGAGCCTGATCTACTAGAAAAATACCCATGTTTTGAATCATACAAAGCTGCGTGAATAAAATCCCGTACCTTCAATAAAAAAAAGACCCCTTTACACAGTTTAAGGAAACACAACAGTCTTCAATATACATTATTCCTGTATGTTTATATTTTATGTTTAAATAGAAATATGGCTCACCAGAACTGGGGCGTCACGGCCAATTTGTGTGGAAAAGTAAGCAGGAGCAAATGGAATCACTGTAAAAGTGGAGTTAGATAAAATCGTGTGTGTAGATATATAAGGCTATATAGATAGAGAAAGGACCTTTGGGAGAGAATAAGAGAGATGAAAGACGATTGGGGCAGCAAACTGACCGAGCGGCCATTTTCGTACTGTTTAGCTTTTCTTCGACTGTTTCTACAGTCCAAAATTGCTTCAACAATTCGTAGAAGTGAATGATACGAGCAAGAAATGGGAGAAAGTTGCGGTTAAGTCCTCGATCTATGCTGAGTATAAGGGGTTGAGTATTTGTTAGATGTGATATTCGAGCATGTTTATTCACATTAATTTCAAAATACATTTTTCTCTATTTTTTTAATTATGTATTTTTTAATAAAATAATATTACACGCAAACTTAAAAATTTTCTTTATTTTTAAACCACACATTCTCCATCAAATCAGTATTCCAAAATACATTTTGGCAGAAGAATGTGGCTCAAACGGTCCTCAAAATTACTCATTCATTAAGTCATTTTTTGAAAGAGCAACTTTTAAAGCAAGCAAACATGTTCTTAGAACTTAACTAATTAGAATTTAGAAGTTCCAAATGTCATCATGTGTGGAAATCGAAAAAAATGGGATAAATAAGAAGGTTGAAGGACTTTGCGATGCTCAAATTAGAAAAGAAGTCTAAGCCATCCTGTTTGATTATAAGATTCTAGATCTTATAGAGCTTTAAAATATGACAGAATTAGAGAACGCACATTATACGAAAAGTGACAACTTAGCTCAATCACGAAATGGACTCACTCTACGTGACTAGTAGGAAATCCAAATATCAGCTTCCTAGCCACAAGATAACTAGGCTTACCAATATCTACAATGATACAACATCAAAACCATCTTAGAGCTCTCAAGATTATACCGTGCTCAAGAAACGACGATTTTAAACCTCAAGGCCTATTAATTAGACCTAGAAATGTTAATGGACCGAGTCAGCTCGGTGTACATCCAGGATCCACTCGATCGACCAAGCAAGCTATTTTGTGCTAGCTTTGAGACGAGCTAAGGCACAAGCCAACTCATCTAAAAAAAATGGGCTCTACTCTCCTATAAGTGAGGCTACCACTCGCCCCATTATTTTTCTTAATTAACATCTTATATATCATTATTTTTAATAAAAATAAAATATGAAATTCAAATTTAGGGTTGATTTGATATCAAATCGCTGGTTTTGCAATTTTGTTGGCGAGCCAGTGGGATTGTCTTGCAAATCAGTTCATGAGAGTTATGAGGTGGCTCGTATGAAAAACTCATGGCTCAATTTGTCCCACAACTCGCTTTCAAGATGAGTCGAACTAACAAACAGCTCACCCCATCTGAAATCTCTAATTGGACCAAAATAATTAATCTTATAGTTTTAACTTAACAGTCTTTTTTCATTTGCAGGTCTAGGAACTAAGATCCATATTTTAGTTCTATGAAGAGAGTTCATTTCTTCTATTATCAAGGGGTGCATTCTCCCTTGAATCATTATCAAAATTTAAAGTATAGGAACTTCACTTCAAAAGGAATTGTTATAATAATAACCTTACTGTTTGTTATTTACTCTTCTCCTTTTCAATTTCAAACATGTCATATCTTCTTCAATAAACATGACATCTCTACTTAGGATTATTTCAATTCCTTTGTTCTTTTAACCAAAGGCATATAGTCTTTTAACTCCTTCAGAATAGACTAGAAAAACACATATATAACTACTCTTGGTTCCAACTTGCCCTCGACTGAATAAAAAAAAATCTAAATAAAAATTCCAATTGTCGAAATACCCATACTTCCCAATCTTTGCGTAGAAAAAATATTAGACTCCTCAAAGTGATCTAAGGGGTGTGTTCGATTGGAACTTTTGAAAACTTTGATAGATTTCGTGGATTTTTTAAAGAATTGATGTCATTTAATTACATTAAGAATTTCATGATCTGGTTCACACCAAACCAAAAAAACAATTCCAAACATGAATTTGAGTTCCAAGGTCTAGGTGAAAGGCTGTCTACTAGGGGCAGACCTATATGAGGCCCAGGCCCCTACTCAATTTTCAGATTTTTTGATTTTTTTTAGATTTTCAGATTTTTTTCAAGGTTTTTTGGTTTCGCCACCCCCGCACCCCCCCACCCCGAACTTCCTTCCTGAGTCCACCCCTGTTGTCTACTCATGCTCTTGGCCAACTTCGCTTGGGCTTCATGGCTCGTCATGCAGGTCGAGTGATATTCTTACTAATATGATTGGACATGATAACCCATAAATTTTCTTGATTCTAATAGACATCGAAGCTATTTTTCATGTGTGACACCTTCACTATTAATAATTAGGAACATAAGAATATTGCACCATGGGTGCTTTCAATTTATTGCCCGAATAGTAAGTTGTTGCTTAACCTTTGAAAACGAGCAAGCTGATATTCAACCTTTCATTATAGTTGCACAATTAATACTCAATGACAAAACCATTCAAATCTTCATTATAGTTTCATTATATTCAACCTTTCATTATAGTTGCACAATCAATACTCAATGACAAAACCATTCAAATCTTCATTAAATGGTCATATAGACCCCACAAAAATGTCTCATTTCCAAAACTTTAACATGATAAAAGATCTATCGTGAAAATCTCAAATCAACCCACATGATCAAAGATTTTGGAGATCTTTCGGTCTTCAGAACCTCGATCCATAAGTGTGGTCTCATACGACTTTTAGATCTTTAGAACATAGTAGAATGAGAAAACAAACACATTTTGTAGAAATAGTTAAGACTACCAAAAGGTGTTTCGGCTAGCTACTTAAAATGTTCGTGAAATTCCAAGATAAAGGACACATGATTTAGTTATGTTCGATATTTATGAACGCAAAAAGGATATGAAAACCTGTACACAAAGCGTTTCCGGTTAGCCATTAAGGTTACTGGATAAAACTTGTCTACCATGTCACATTGGTTAACATTTGAAACATTTTTCCTAGATGGAGGTTCAGTTTTGTGAAGCCTATACAAAAGATTTTTTTTTTTTTCTAAAATTCATTCATTTTGAAAAAGTGTAGTATTGTTCGGGAATTTTTAAAATAATTTCATATGGACATTAGATTATGAATCAAAGATGAAAATACAAGCCAATATGCGTGTAACTACGAATGGATCGTATGAACCACATAAAAGTTGTCAAAAAAATTTTGGCCAACAGGCATTTTTTTGGTAAAAATTAAAATCTAGATTTTAATCTAAATCAAAGTTAACAATTAATTTAAACCAAATATTTTATGGGTCCCATAACCTTTCAACCACATATTTCTTCAACTTCTATCAAAATTTACTAAAAATCTGATTTTAATCCCCACCAGACAGAGGAAGCATGTTGGTGCATACGCATTGTGCGGTTGGTGTACTTGTGCCAACAAACTGCATTGAAGCGCAAATGCCCCATCGTGGAGGTAGCATGCGCCTTGTGGTGTATGCGTGCTCCTGACCAGCAAACCCGCTACACCAAATTTCTCCAATGGTGCATTTTCATCCCATAACTGAAGTTACTTGTTCTAGAATCTTGCTACATGTATATCAAAATTCACATAATGAATTATATAATATCACATGACACTCTATCATTTGCCAGTTTAAAATACGATCAACTTTTTCGTCCAATATTTTCCCTCCACATTATATTATGTAATCCGCCGTTTTAATTCAGATTTTTTCAGGTTCTTTGATGTGTTTCAAGTCTAATAGACGTTGCCAATAGTTTTGGAAAAGGTGTGACAAGAATCTATATTTAGAGCTTGTTCGATTATCATTAATTGGGAAAAAATGAGTTTTGAATAGTATATTTAAGAGAACATGTGGTTGAAAAGTAGGAAATGGTTTTTGGTATAGATATAGAATATTTTATTATGTTAATGTATGGTTAAAAATATTTTTTTATCAAACCATAAAATAAATTAATGGACGTCAAACGGGCACTTAGATTCAAATTCTTTGATTGAAAATGACATGAAAATTCATATTCCTCTTTCTTCTTCCTCGAATTCTTTTTCTTGCATATTTTCATCAAATTTCTTTAAAAGCTTGTTTGTATTCTATAAATCCAGAAATTTTGAATATAAACTTCTCGAGCTTGACTTTTTCTCTTCTTAGTGTTGTGGTTCGTTACTAAATGACGAAATAACATTCTAGTTTCATTTTATCATGGAAGCATATTTGTTTTCTCGTGTACATTACTAGTATAGTGGGGGAAATTAGCATTTTAAGGGAAGTGACTTCGTAGCTCACCTTGGAGCCTCTAAAGTTCTCAAACTTATTCTTGAAATCCAACTTTCTACACTGCATTGTCGTGGTCAAATTGGAAGATTTGTTCCAACAATATTTTCTCGACCTCAAAAGTTTCTTATTGTTAGGTTGTGAAACTCAATTACATGATGATAATGTTAAACGGTTTGAATTAAGTTTTATAGGCCTGGGTCGATGAGTGAAATTATTATCCAACTCAACCCGAAAACAACTAAAAAGGTCGTTGGAAGCAACTTAATTTAAGTTAATGTTGCTCATGACCCATTTACTGTTTGTTGGTCCATGGACCCACTGTTAGAGCCAACTTAAACTACACCTAGATCTATATATGACCTCATTGTTGGAAGAAGCCATGTGCGGGTGCAATAAGAAAAGAGGCAGCCGTCCTTCCGTGTTTTCTCTCTTCTTGTTAGGAAATCGAAACTTGTCTTCCTCTCCTCTTGGATACATATTGCAGCTACCCTATTGGGTTCTTTGTGGATACATTGAGTTGAACAACCGAAGTAAAACGTAATTGTGGGTTGGAGCCGATTGGTTGATTGTGTTTGATGTCCGGACATGATTATTTTATAGAAGAAAAATGACTTCAATTTCATCTTTAAATAATGGCTAATGAAAGGTTTGAAAGTCACAATTTCCATAATGTTTGAATTATACTATAAATACATATTGAGTGGTTCAATTATAAAATAATGTCAATTGAGATTTTGTTCTAAATTATTGAAATAAGCTTCCAAATGGGCCCCTAACTTTGTCCAGAAAATTGTATAATCTGGATAGAATAATGTTATCATAGTAAAGATTATCGATAATTGTTTTACGTGATATACA